CGCTAAGACACTGAACAGAGACAAAAGGACATTGTCATGAATTTTACTTCTTTATACACGGCCTTTCCAAACCATGACTTGCTGCGGTCCTGGAAGGCCGAATTCACGGCCCTGAGACAAAGCAGGCCCTTGTGTTTACATAAGATTTGGTTTGACTTTCACTGTGTCTCCATTCTTACTCCTATATTTAGGAAGTTGCCACTGAGCCACTGATGGATTTGCCTCCTTTTAGATCCATCTTCTAAACTGCACTGTTCCTGTTTGGATGGATAGATGAGTTGAACTCGTGTCTTTCCATCAGTTGACCGGGATCCTGCACAGCTCCGCCTTCACTTTGTGTTAGTGCTGCTGCTGCTGCTGCTGCTGCTGCTGCTGCCGCCGCCGCCGCAGCACGTGGCTGTGTTTCCCCTTGGAACCAATGTAGTTGAGGAAATGCAGTGCTAGGTTGTCTGAACTTGGACTTTTCTGGTCACAGTGACAACTAAGAGAACTTTGCACTACAGTTTTTTATGCGTTGATTGGGCTTATTATTTGTGAAATTAATCAGGTTAATCAGGCACTACTCGCCTTAAACCTAAGGTACCATCTCAACGTGTAGCATTTGTTAGTAGAGGCTTGTGTTAGACCAGCTTGACTGAGCCTAGGACAGTCAGTAAGTCAACAGCTGACCAGCTGACCGGCACGATGGTCAAATGGATTGTAAGGGACTGTAGATCACTGATAATGTTCTGGTCAAGGGCGTCAGCAAAGCTTTGAAAAAAACTCCTGACATGTTCTACAAGCCACTGTGGAGATGCACAAAAATCCACCAGATCTATGAAGCTAAATTTTGAGTTATAAATGTGTGACATATGAATAATATATATAGGAACAGGTCCATTTGCCTGCAGTTATAAAAATATATCTACAAACCTCGAAAAGAAAAGAGTAGTAACAGATGTTTTCCTGAAAACCTGATCAAATAAAACAGTCATTAATACAATGGTTATATTTAACTAAACAGTAAAACACTTTTCTAGTGAGTATTTGGTCATCATACCATGACGGAAAAAACATTGTATTTCAGAAATGTTTAAAAATTGATATAAAAAAAAAGCTCTCATTTTTAAAAGCCTTAATACAAATATTCAAAAGACACTTTGTCTTTTGTGTTGTTTGGTATTTGTTCAGTGTCATATGGTAATGTTAGTCACTACTGTTATTGTCTTTTCAAACCCTAGAGTTCAGGCAGGGACACATTTTAATGTGATTCTCCTAAAACGAATACATTGAAGTGGCAGTGAAAACAGTACAGTTATTAGACTGAACCAGTCGTGGCCTACTGTAGGTGATGTCACCAGTCAGTAGGAAACTAAAGTTAAACTCCATTATGTTTGAACGAGTGGCTCAAAGTATGGAAACTATTGATCAGTTCTTCTGCTCTGATAATTAAAGATGTATTTGTTAAAAGTCGACCTGATTATCAAGTGAGCACATGAGGCTGGATGCTGTTGGATGGAGTGATGTTGGTTTTTTTTGTCGCCAGTTTTATACATGCAGTTCATTAATACATGTTTTTTCAACTAGTGTGTTTTCAAAACAGAGGTGCACGGGCCACATTGAGGCCGAGGTCTTTTTAAATTGGCCCCTCATCTATTGTTGTTTTATAGAGAAATATTTTTTAAGTCCATTAAAAACATGGCTGATGTTGATGCTAACCCTAACAATGCTAACGCCAGCCACGCCTTAAGGCACACGGATACAGTGGTACTCCGTATTTGAAAGCTAACGGGTAAAGTTAAATGTTGTCACGTTAATTAGAGGCTGATTTATCGACAGGTTGACGAACTTTGTGGTCAAGGTTTTGTTGTGTATATTTATAAACATTTTTAAGTTAAAAATAAAATGGCAGACAACAGTATTTCAGCCCTATAGAAGCCGTGGCGCCCCCTTGTTTCTTATTTTTATGGAAAGCTGAGACCAACAACCCAGAAAGATCAGACCAGTCGAGCGATTCTGTCCACAACAAAGCCTATACATAGCAGCACAGACCGGCCCGCAGGACCAGAGCAATGTGTTTTGGCTAAATACAGAGACGACCCAGCCCTGCTGACTGAGACAGAGGGATGGCAGCAGATGAGATAGTAGTAGAATAATAAGAAGCGGACGTCAAAGTGAGTCAAATTTGTAACATATAAAAGCACAAAGGAATCACAAGAAAAGAAGAAAAAAACCTCCGGCCTTATATTTTTTGACACAGTAATTTCCTTGGAATGACCACATCACACAATGGTTTGGAAAAAAAAAAGTTCTGGGAGGAAACAGAAAGAACCAACACAAACCACTGGTTTCTGTGGACCTGAAGTGCAGCTTAAATTAATGTATAAAAAAATGCTTTCAAACCAGTCCAGGAATTATTTGAATAACTTCATGGTTGACAATGTTTTTTTTGTTCTGTTTAGGGCAGAATATTTAACTTTCTCTCTTTTTTTACCTCTTCACTGCCCTACCAATAGTCCTTCAGTCATATGGCAGTCACAAAAAGCCCAGTAATTATAACCTTGTTGGTTTTCTTCTGCCAGGAAAGGTACTAAAAATACCCCGGCATTGTAGCAGCGATGGGGCCAAAGCTGGAGGTTTCTGAGACGGTGTCCACATTTCTGTGAATATATGTCAGTATCTGCACGGGGCAAACGAGGCCACGTGATACTTTACACCTTCATGGATTATTACAGGACTTTACCTCTGCTGGTCGTCTGTACTGCTGGTCGTCTGTACTGCTGGTCGTCTGTACTTGACTAAAAATAACACTGTGGACTGTGTCAAGAAGTCATTGGATAAATTTTGATTCAATTTATGGAAAAAACAAAAAGCAAACGTGCAGCTCATTTATCTACAAATCCAAGTCTGACTTATAACATGGCTAACTGGGTTTACAGACAGGGGTCTGTGACTTCTAACAAACTGATTGAAGTTTTATTTTTATTTATTTTTTCGTATCTTCTTGATTCTCGTCATCGAACATAGAATCTGGGTTTTTAATGATCATTTTTCAGCCTTATTAGACCTCAGTTGCTGTGGTCTTTTCTTGCACCTTTTTAATGTTATAGTTTAATGCTTTAAGAAGTCCAGAATCTGGGTTTTTAATGATCATTTTTTACCTCAGTTGCTGTGGTCTTTCTTGCACCTTTTTAATGTTATATAGTTTAATGCTTTAAGGAGTCTGTGAAGTTGAACATCAGTCCTACTTTACCCTGGTGTCTGTAGAAAGGTTAAAGGTCACATCAAGTGGATTTCTTTCTTTCTGACATCTACGTATGGCGGGAGTTTCACTCTTAGCTCAGACCTCTGATCTGTGCAAGAGGAATAATCTGCACTTGTAGTTTAGCAAGTTCCAAAGTACACACTGTTGTTTACACTAAAATACCCAGTATTTGAAAAAAAAAAATAATAAAAAAAGAGCTGATCGACCGTAGCTACACCTGAAGGACGCAGGCCTTCGTCTTTGAGGGTTCGTCCTACAGCTGATGCTGCACGTCGTCATCAGACGACTGTTGTGACTGGTGACCGTGCGGATGCACGTCCTGCTGTGTGTGTGAAGGCTGAGGTTCAGCCCAACTTCTGCTCTGAGGCAGAAATGCAGCGGCTCTGATGGAAACATTGTCATGAAAGCACATGAGCTCCGACTCTGTTACCTAACGCTCCATAAAGGAGCATTCATCCACAGTCGGCTCATTCTCCACGGGTGTGTTAGCCGGGCTACTTTTGACCGAGTCAAACCGTACAGAAACTCAAACCCTGACCACTAATCTTAACCTGCATCAGGTTGCTGTGAAGTCAGGGTCAGGCGGTGTTATAAAATAACGACACAGTGAGACACTGTGGTCCCTCGTGTCGGTGTCCGTCTGTCAGACTTAAATCACTGAGGAAACACTTTCCCCTCTCTCTCTCTATCTCTTTTTTTTTTTTTTTACTTTTTGCTGATATTTAATTGTTGAAAAATAATTTTCATTTTTTTGTGGTCTGGACTTGGAGGTGCACAAAGATGTGGGTCATTTGGTTCCAAGCCCAGAGAGAAACTAAAACACGTTATTAACATTTTATTTATAACATACACAGGTGAATCAGAGAGATCCTGTTTGAGAAACGTGGATGTTGAGTTTAATGGTGTGTTTTACTTTTATGTGCATTTATCAGTGATGTTTGTTCTAACAGTTGCTGTTCAGGCTGTGAATTGTGTGAGACTCAGGGTTAAATGAATACTTTTTAAATTGCAATTATTTTTCTAAAAACAATACGAAAAACAGAGCAGTTGCATCAGCAGGTTTTATCCATTCTGTCTCTAACTCTGTACTTGGTCGAGGCCTTTCCATGAGCCACACACACTTCAGGGGCCGGGGTGATGGTGCGATTCCAGCCCTGACGTCCTGAGTCGGGCTGCTGCTGCTGCTGCTGCTGCTGCTGCTGCTGCTCTCTGTGCACATGCTCTCTCAGTACTGAAGAGACAACAGCAGCAGCAGCAGCAGCAGTGAGCTGTCTAACCTCCACAATAACCGCCTTATGTAATCACTCTGGCTAGAGACAGACAAAAATAGCTCAGACTGAGCAGCCCTGCCCTCTTGTGGCAACCATCTGCCCCAGCACCCCGGCCTGTTCAGCCTGTGAAGGAGAATCAGACATGGCGGCCGCGTTCACCGTAGCTGAGAGGATCATGATTCATTTTAAACAGAAGAAGTGTTTAGAGAATGAGGTCACCTGTGTGGTGGGGGTTTTCACTGATACAGATGGAGGTTCATGGGAAGGCTGTTAAAAATGGCCGTCTTTGTTGTTTTATCTGTTTGCCTTGAAAGTGGCGGGGTTTTTTTTACATTTTTTTTTATTAGGGTCGTTTGTTTTGGGTTTTTTTTCCTGTAATGTGGTTGTGGTTCACGTAAAAACTTCTGTAATTGTTTTTGTTTTTAACGTGATCTTGTCAATGCATCTGTAGCAATGTCTTCATCTTTGTTTTTGTCTCTTTGCAGTTTCCTGGACAGAATTGACTCTGTAAGACAGAGTGACTACACACCAACAGACCAGGTCAGCCATGTGTTTATTTTAATTTAATTTGCAAAGAAAATGGAAAATAATAATAATATTTTCTGTAAAATGTCTAAACTGCGTCACTCCTGTCGTTCACATCTTTTGCAGGACCTGTTACGCTGCCGAGTGTTAACTTCAGGGATTTTTGAAACGAGGTTCCAAGTAGACAAAGTCAACTTTCAGTAAGTCTGACAACAACTGTTTCTATATCAGAGCTTCCAGAGTTAACTGGATAATGACCAGGCACTGCTAACATGGTTGGTACTCACAGGTTTGGAGAGTGAACTGAGTTACCGACACTGTGTGGAGAAGCAGTGAGATTAATTCATAAGTGCTCTTTTACTGCACACTATACGGCTTCAGGTTTTTTACATGAGCTTGAACCAATCTCCTCTATTATTAGAATTAATATTATTATTATTACTACTTTTCTAAGTGTAAAGCAAAAATGTTGCGTTATAAGGCACTGTTTTGGTCACATATTCAGAACATTGATGCTGAAACTAGAAAATATTTTTCACACACTCACGTCGTCTTCTTAGAAAACAGAGGCCGCCTTCCTGTTACTAAAAAGCCCCAGTAACACGTCATTGGTTGTGTTTGACTACATGACGCAGCGGCTCAAAGTCCACTCATACTGAGAAGTTGATTTGAGCAAAAGTTGAATTAAATGTTTTCAACCCCATCGTCTCATCTCAAAGTGAGGAACGAAATGTTTTCAACCCCATCGTCTCATCTCAGAGTGAGGAACGAAAAGGAGGCAACGTTTTGCTTCTACATAATCTGAGCAAAGAGGGGTCAAAGGTTAGGACCAATCCAAGACAAACAAGGTCAAAAACACACAGGCCCTGAACAGAGGAGTGGGAGGAGTGGGGTGAATGGTTAGTGGGAAACAGAGTTCAGATGATTCTATCTGGATGTTAATCTGGATCTGAAACATTGCGAAGAGGAAACGCACCACGGAGTGTGGTTATAAAAGCCGGCTGTAAAGGTTAGAGACCGTGTTCTGTAACTGCGGTGATGATGTCAGACCAGATGACCCACTTCCACAGACACAACAGACTGGTTCTACTGTCTGAAATGTGCCTTTGTATCCCATTATATCAGCCTTAATGATCGGAACACAACAAAAACAAAAAATCTCTGAGAACTAACTTTCAATCATACAGCAGCACAGGTCACAAAGGTCACACAGGTCACACAGATCTTTCTTTCAGTATTTACATCCATGGAATCTGTTTTTTTTTTTCATATTACCATAGTTTCTAAAGTGCATTTTCTTTTGAACTAATGATGTGAGCTGCAGTCTGGCCTCCTCCACTCTGTCCTAGTAGGGGATAGGACGGCCACAAGAGGGCAACAACGAGCCTGTTGTCGTGTGTCTTGACTCTGACCCAGTATTTTGTCTCCACCACAGCATGTTCGATGTTGGAGGGCAGAGAGACGAGAGGAGAAAATGGATCCAGTGCTTTAACGGTGAGACTTTCAGCCTTTTTTTTTTCACACATCTAGAACAAGCATTATTTTTCTACATGTGCTTTAACGGTGAGACTTTCAGCCTTTATTTTTTCACACATCTAGAACATTATTTTTCTACATACTGATGGAGTTTGTCTATCTTTTGGCTCCAGACGTCACTGCTATCATCTTCGTGGTGGCCAGCAGCAGCTACAACATGGTAATAAGGGAAGACAACAACACCAACAGGCTACGGGAAGCCCTGGATCTCTTCCGCAGTATTTGGAACAACAGGTGAGACGGACACAGGGATATGGAACAAACCATTGGGAATGAGGACTTACAGTAAACTCATGTTCGTGTTCTGATGGTCAAAATGATTATATATAAGAGTTTACTGTTAACCCATGATGTAAGAAGTGCTAAAAGTCTCTGGTTGCTGTCTTGGTTTACAGGATTCTCTCCTTAGTTTCTGTTGTCTTTGCTGCCCTCTGTGGATGTTTTTTAAAAATTACCCACTCTTCTTTCCAGATGGTTACGCACTATATCTGTCATATTGTTCCTGAACAAGCAGGACATGTTAGCTGAGAAAGTATTAGCTGGAAAATCCAAAATTGAAGACTACTTCCCTGAATATGCTCGCTACACCATACCAAATGAAGGTTTGCGTCTCCCAGAAATCATCCAGATTTGCAAAGTTGTTCCTGCGCCAAATCTGACTGTTAATACTTTTTATTTCAGCAACTCCTGAACCTGGCGAGGACCCACGAGTGACGAGAGCTAAGTTCTTCATCAGAGACGAGTTTCTTGTAAGTCTGTGTGTCTAGCTTTTCTGCTGTGGCCTGACTGGCACCAGATGACACCAGTGACCACATTTTTCTGACCTCTGACCTCTGTGTCTCCTCAGCGGATCAGCACTGCGAGTGGCGACGGCAGACACTACTGCTACCCACACTTCACCTGTGCTGTGGACACAGAGAACATCCGGCGGGTGTTCAACGACTGCCGGGACATCATCCAGAGAATGCACCTGCGGCAGTACGAACTCTTGTGATGCCACAGCGTCTCCGTCAGCCTTCTGTGTTTGTTTTTTTTTTTTCTTTTTTTTTTCTCCACCGTTGTGCATCCTTGACAAGCCCCACCTCCTCCTGAATCTTAACCTTCACCCTTCTGCTCTCCCCCCAAAGACACCCTCTGCCCTCCTTCTTGTCGAGGACTATGAAGTACTACTGAAGTGTGTCAAATACTCTTCCTCTTCTTAACTTTTCTACTTTTCTTTTTTGTCCCCTCTCTCTCTCTCTTCATCCCCATTTTACTGAAGTTTGGGGAACACAGCTTTTTTTGTGTGCTGCTTGTTTTTTTTTAAAGCTTTGATTTTTGTCATTCCACTAAGCCTCGGGCTACCTCCTTTTTTTCTTTTTTTTTTTTTGCTTTGCACCTTTGCTTTTACTCCTGTCATTGGACCTGGACAGGTGGGTGTGGTTCTAGGAACATGCCTACAGGACCTCAGTGTGGAGGCAGTGTGAGTTAGTGTGACAGAACTGTGAGTGTGTGTGTGTGTGTGTTGTTTGTGTGATACCTGCTGCATAAAGCCGGCGTCACCACCACCACGACTTTTGCCTCTTTTTTTTTTTCTCGCCTTTTTTTTTTCCCCACCCCTGCCCTTCCTCCTCCTCCCACCCGCTGCTTCTCTCCGGACGCCGTAGACGACAAGGGGAAAGAGGGAGGAGTCGAGTGGATGATGAGATAAATGCACTTTGCATCAGGTTCCTTAAACATTTTTTTTTCTCTTTTGGTTGTTGACATTTTTTTTCTCCAGAGGAAGCATACACACAATGTAGCATCACAATATTTATTACCCTGTCACGACGTTAGCTTGCCGAGCTGCAGGGCGTAGACCGAGCAGCCGAGAGACACGTGGAGCCAAAAGGACGGGGAGGAAAATAAAAAATTTCCCAGGTAGACGCTGATGAAGGATTTATAAATGAAGGAAAAAGGACGGAGCTCTCTGCACCTTAGCCCTGCTGCCTCCACAGACTCGGACCTGACTCCGTGTTTTGCCCCCGCCCCCACACACAGATCATCCTTTTAGCTTAGAGACACTGACGATGGGAGGGAAGGGAGGGAGAGAAAACAATGTATTGTTCTGATTTTTTTTTCTTTGTTTTTTGTTAACTTGTACACTGTGCAAGGTGGAATTATCCTGTACAGACTGTAAAATGTAATATTATTTTGTACAACTTAATTGAAAGAAAAACAAATCTACTTGTAGATCTTTGTGCCTTGATTATGGCTGTACCTGTAAATGAGCTCAGATGTAAGTATGTTTTCGACTGCGCTGTACAGCTTGATGTCAAAAACTCTTATCGGCAGCAGAAGACTGCGGGTAGGAGACTTTCTCTGTAGAGTTTAGTTTTTTCTGGTTTATAAAAAAAAGGAAATGCTGTTTAGTAAAAAAAAAAAAAAAACATAGGGAAAAAATCCTAAAAACCTGTATACATTATGCAAATTAACCACTTACCTGCAGTGAAGACCAGATGTTGCAGCGCCATGCCTTTTTTTCTTCTTTTATCGGTTTTAATTTTTTTTCTCTTTCTTTATTTGATTTTTTTAAAATTTTATTTCACAGCTTTAAACCAACATTGGGAATCCATTGAAAGTGTCCAAATTGCAACCTGGTGTTGTTTTAATAGGAACCAACTTTTTTCTTTTCTTTTCTGTTCTTTTTTCTTCTTTTTTTTTGGATATGAAGTGTGCGTTTGTGTGTGTGCGTGTGTGAAAGAGATCTGTACTGATGAGCGTGCCTGTGCGCATGTGTACATAAAACAAAACTAGACTCACAGACACATTGTGTGTGTGTGCGCCTGTATGAGGACGAGTGTGTATAAAAATTTTATAAATGTATGTACATGTAAATTTATAGGTCTATATAAATATATATGTACAATTATACATGTTTAATTATGTGTGTGCCTAGGTGTACATACCTATGTATGTATACGGTAAATATGTATACATACACACATAGGAAAGCATGTTTTAGAATGGAGATGAATAAATGAGAGCGTGCAATATTAGTACAATTCTTTGGTCCTTTGGAGCCATTCTGGATGGCACAGGCACTATGAATGTGTGTGAGCAGCACCCAACAAGACGAGCTCTTCTCCTTGTACAAACAGCATCAGCCTTTTTCTTCTGCTACAGTAACACGTCTATCCCCGAGAGACAGACAGACCGAGAGAGAGAGAGAGAGAACTGACTGGAGGTGCAAAAAACCTTGTTTTTGGCCTGGGAGGATGATTAAATGACATTTTTATTTTCTTTAAATAAAGAGGCACATTAGAGGACTTTGCTTTATTTCCATCTTGGTGTCCACTCCTGTCTGGGTTTTTTGTTTTGTTTTTTTTTCCCCCTTTGCTTTCCAGATGTAGATGCCAGGGAATGACCTTAGCACAGTGGGGTAAGTTGCCTCTGAGGCAATTTTGACAGTCCTTTAAAATATGTACTGTTAATTGTAATCATGATAATATTAATATATTTTTACTGTACTGTGTGGAAACAAAAAGTGTCCATCCAGGCTTCCGTACCACACAATATCTCTCTTTGCACAGGTAAGGCATGTCAGTTCTAACGTGTTTGATGGAAAAACAACTGAAAAGATTAAAAGAAATTATTCCAGGAAAATAGTTTAAAAATTATTATATTATTTTCTGGTTTACCATCTAAATCCAGCACGTGACGATTAAAACAAACTAGATAAAACGTTGGCAATAATATGAGAATGGTAAAAGTTAGCTAAGAATTAGCTGAAAGTGATGCAATTGGGAGTTACTCTGTGGCCTAAGCCCCAGAAATAGTAAACAGTTAAAATGTTGCCAATGTTTATCTTAGAAATACATTACTGGGACAATTGTTTCCTACTTTTAAACATATTGAGCTGTAAATTAATGTTTTTCTCTTCATAATCTCTGTCTTGAAGACAAACAGGCAAATTTAGGGGCAACTATCACAGTGGTATGCAGGCTAATTAATCCCATTATTATTTATTATTGATTCTTGATCACAGAGTAAAACAAACCCGCTCGAAACACCTTACGTGTTCTAGTATTATTTCCTTATTACAATGAAAGGTTATTTATGATTTTTTTCCGCAAAACTAAAGTTTTAATTCGTTGTCCTGTGGCTTAGGTCGAAGCATTTCCGGACTATCAAGTACCAACCGGAAGCCGGAAAGCAGCGGTAAGATTCTGATTTCTTTATTCGTGTACAATTTATCAGAAACGTTTCAGACAGTTTGGCAAAAAGAATTCCACAAACGTTTGGCACAAACTTTTGGCAATGAATGTGTACAGATGTCGCAGGTGAGACAACAACAATAACAACGGCAATAACGTAGATATACATCAGACCACTAACGACTTGAACCACTAACATACTGTACACACGACTGTGGCTTCGGCGGTAACATGTCCCTGTGTCGTGTTCTCATTTTTACACGTCTGAACCTTCAGGTCAGTTTGTCACGTTGGCACCGGGAGGTTTAGTGGTCACAGATACAGACCGTACAATCAGAACAGTGCTTTAAAGAGATTGTAAATATACATTCAAGTCCTTTGCAGTGGCACAAAAACGAAGACAAAGTTGTTGTTTTTTCCCCCCTTTTCTACAGTTCCTAAAAAAATGGACATAGCCGACACTTTTGAAGTCTTTCAGAGCTGCAGAAACAGGAAACAAATGAACTAAAGTGACAGGAGTGTATTAACTGGACATAAAGGAGGCAGAGATGTGGTAACAAATTGAATGCACCTGAAAGGAAACAAGGAGGCAGGAGTCAAACAAAAGAAATGGAACCACGTAAGTTAAAGATGGTTTAAAGTTGTCATTTAGCTCAGCCAGTAATGTAAAACTACCTCTGATCTGACTCAATTTTGAACTGTTTGGGATCAGGATCCTGGAAGGTCAAGGTGATCTGTGCAAAAGTCATCTACAGGAGCTCATGTTTCATCTTTTCACCCAGGATTAGAGAAAACACCCATGTGGCAGGTAAGTGCACTTTTAAAAATCTTCTCATCTGACATATTTGTCCTTCCAAATACTTTTACTAGCAGTACTATTTATTTTTCCTCATTAGCTCAGGAACTTCACCACAAAGTGCTGTTGTTGGGCGTGACTGAATTTTGTTACTGCTGTTTTTTTGTTTGTTTGTTTTTTGGTCAGTCTAAAATACTAGTTTGGTGACATTTTCAAACCTTAAACTCTTAAAAATCTATATCCTCTAAATGGGGTCAAACTTTAAAAAACCAACATGTTCTATGGAGGAGGCAGTTGCGATCATGAATCATGATAAATCGAATCAAAAGCGGTCTTATTATCCCACAAACGTTCCGTTAAAGTGTGTAAAGTCGCCCCCGGTGGCTCCCTAGGCTTTGCCCTCCGAACCGCATGGCTAGTCCATTATTTATTTATGGAGTCCATGAACACATTATTGCACATCAAGTCACCATTTGCCAGTCGCTGATGCCAGAGGACCGCCACTTCACAACTGTGTCCAGCAGCACTGCCTTGTACCCACTGCATTGTGGGTAAGGTCCAGGAGTTCACAGAGACTTGTGCTTCCCCAGCAGACAGAGGCTGAGACACTGCAGCAGACCTTTCATCCACAGACAGTGAGCCAGGAACAGCAGCAGCAGACAGGCTCCGGCCGAACAGTACACACTGATCACCGTGCTCTCCTCCGGCAGGAAGCACTTGGACAGAGAGTACGTGACGGGTGACACCGACGCCTGAAGAGAAGAAGAGTTGTTGAATGATGTCATCGTCAGCTGTCTCCACGTCACAAAAGAGATCAGAACTTACCAGGATGATGCTGGGGTTGTTCCTGTTTCTCCAGCTGAAGGACGGAACACTGACCTCCGGGTATTTGTTCTCATGAAGAACCTCACACCCACTGTGGGTGTGTCCACTCAGGATGAGGCGAGGTTTAAACAACTGCAGCAGCTGGAGAGAGAAACGGAGGAACTCTGACTTTGGCTCCGAGTGACTCGAAAATAGTGTGTGTGTGCGTGCGCAGAGTTCTCACCCTTTGTGATGCCTCCTTGGACAACACGTCATACTTCTCTCTGAACAGCAGGTGTCGCTCTTCAGGCGGTGCGGCGTCCTGTCCTGTGCAGCCTGCGTCACTGACTCTGTACAGAGGGTAGTGCTACAAAAGAAAGACAAAACAAGTCAAGTTATTAATTATTAATTACAAAATTCCGCTTTTTTTCACAAATCTATTACATCTGATTTCATATCACGTGTTAATTTAAAATAATACTTTTTGATTAAAAACATTAAAAATCATTCTGCCGATTAAGTGTCAACCATTGAATCCACCAGCAGAGGGCAGCAAGTTCCCATATTCCCTGCCGCAATTAGTGTAGTCGTCCTGGAAAGCCGCAAAACTATTTCCTGCCGCAATTAGTGTAGTCGTGCTAAAAAGCCGCAAAACCACAGAGATAATTAATGAGCACAGACAGAGAAGGCGGAAAGATTAGTTAATGACAGTAAAGTCAAAATAAACACACAAGAGCAAATGTTTGACAAAAAATGACACTAATTGAACATTAACGTGACAAACGGCCTAAACGAATCATAAAATAATGACCGGGACCATAACAATAACATATTAGTGTGAAGAGAAAAAACAACCACAACAACAGAAGTGCAGTAAACAGACGATTAAGAAAAGATTTTGGTTATTTTGCACCGCTGTCCTGCACCGCTGTTTGATTAATTCGCGGCCTGTGTAGATGCAGTTTCAGCAGCTTTGTTGAGGAAAGTGCTGTCGCAGACATTTAGAGAAAGAGGACAAGACGATAACAATAGAAAGGACATTCAGAGAGGACGGGGCCACCGTGTGGTGGAAGGAAGGATATTAAGTTTAAATATGTGATTCGATTCCTGCAGGATGAGGTTAACTGTTCACTCCGAATTGATCATAGGTGTGAAAGTGAGTATGAATGGTTAATTGTCTTGAAAAATCGGTTGAAAACAAACGGGTATATTTTTGAATTCCCAGAGTTCCCCTGTGATTTACCTGTAACATGATTGGAGCAGAGGCAGGGTAGAGCTGAGAGCCGTTACATCCTTCCATTGCTGCACCTGAGGAGTGTGAACTCTGCAGAGGCAACAGAACAACATTAAAAAATAATAATCATCAGTCTTCTCTCCTGAAAAAAACACAGCTCTTGGTAATTATGGCTCATTAAAATCAGTGGAAATGTTGAAAATGTTCCTCTTGGAAGCTTCATCACCGAACACTTTACTTGGACAAATCTGCAAGAGCTCCAAATTCCAAACCATCTGATTTATACCACAATTATTCTGAACTAATGTGGAAAAATACCCAGCTGCCCTGAGCCTACGTACAGGTATTTGACACTGGCGTCCCACTTTAGGCTTATTCTAAACGTACAGTCGTCCCACATACAAAAGACAAATGAGAATGTGCTGGAAAATGTTTTTAAAATTGGCCTAACAAGTACTTAAATATGACCTGAAAACTTGTGTGTGTGTGAGTGTGTGAAAATCCTGAAGTTCTCTCTTCAGGATCTGTAGTTTTTGCTTTTTTTTTTGCAGTTTTTGCAGAAAAAGACAAAAAAAAACCTGTTACAAAAAAAGCTGAGGCCTGCAGGTGTGTGTGCGTGTCGTCTTCTTTGATAGAGGGGATCATTGTGGGTTACTGTGGACCCCCAGACCTCACCTGGATCTGTCACCTGAGCTGCAAATGTCAACTACACAACAACTGTTTTATCTGATTCTAAATCAGTGATGATCTAACTTATAGATATCTTCCGTTAGAAATCTGTGGTCGGGGTCTTTGGTCTGGAAAACCTTATAGACCCAGGTCTGTTAGGACATGTCTTCAGCAGCCCATTAATGGACTGTCCAGACCTCCTGCCCTCAACCCAAGATTTATAGCTCTGCCTCCCCTTGTCTCCCCCTGCCTTCCGTTAGGAGAAACTGGTAGAGCGATTCCAGCAGCTTGATTTTACTGTGGTTTTGCAGCGACCTTGTAGAAGTGTTGTTTTAATCTGCCCTTGCCTGTGGCCTGTTGTTGTGTTCCATCAGACGCTCTTGGCCCATTAGAAAGTAGAAAGTAGTTCTGACAGAGTCCTCACCAATAGAGGGAGACACAATGGTGCGGGCTTTATTACCCTGCTCCTCACATGATTTGACTTCCTGACACTTCACACACTCGGAGGTGGTGAGAGAGAGAGAGAGAGAGTGTGTGTGTGTGACAGTGTGATGCTGGTTTCCTTGAAAGAGCTTGTCCCACCTGCAGGGAACAGTTGAGCTCTCTGGAGAGTCTGATCAGCTCCTTCTCCACAGACTGGCAGATGGGACAGCCGTCTCCGTGCAGGGCCACGCTGTTCAACAGCAGGAAGCTGAGCACAGGAGAAAGACAAAAGTTTTTACTCTGAAAGTTTGTTCTGAAACCCCCGCCCCCAAACTCTGTTTTAAAAACAACAACTCCTGTCCAGAGAGTGTGTCCTTTGACCTCAGCCGATGAACACCTCAGAGACTGACAGTAAGGCTAAAGTCTGGAATTCCAGCAGAGGAACCCTGTAAATGTCTGTCGGTTTGACTGAAAACCAGCCCATCAGCAGGATGTAGACTCAGGGGATTGAACCCCTGACCTCTCTCTCAGCCTGCAGACTCACACGTTTGTCACCAGTGACACTCACTTCACTCCCTTTTTGGTGACGATCCTGGTGGTGGAGGCGTTAAAGACTTTCTCAAATCGCTGCAGCTTGAACCAGTCCATCCTACAGAGAGACACCTCAACGTAAATTATAGTAAATTATAGTAAATTAATTCTAACTAAATACAATCCTATATATATATATATATATATATATGGGGGCATTTCAATTTTTTTATTCTAATTTTTCCCTCATTATCATTTAACATTTTTCCCACTAAACCTGTCAGTGGAAAATATATGTAGTTAATGTCATGATCTGGAGGAAATGAATACACGTTAATACTAGTTGCGTTGGTCTCTGACATGACGACGGTTAAGTGTGTGGTTTTAATTGTTCCTATAGGCTTCTGTGAATTGTTGCACTGACATTTCTCTGATCACCTGCAGACGTGAGACACGCAGGTGTGTTTGACACCTCATCACGACTGAATGTGAAACATCAGGGAAAGTATTTGGCTCACACACCAAAGAATCACACGCTGTGCTGTGCACTAAGAAATGCGGCTGCGTTCCATTTAGTTTCATCAGCTCGAGGCGCCACTTCCGATCGTCACACATTAGTGGCTGACTGCCTCCTGGGTGGGATTTCAAACCTCTGACTGGGTGGCTAACCTAAAGAACATATTGTGTTGCATTGTGTTACTATTAGATTGGACTAAACTGGACTGAGTCCCATGTCAGAGTGTACCTTGTTATTTAGCATTCATTTTAATCATTTTAAATCACATAGTTTTGTATAGCTATGTTTTATTGTAAATACATGCAAAATTAAAAATCCCAAACTTTTTTTCTGGGGACCCATATTTTAGAAGTCACGAACCTTTTGCGACATAAGTCAATAGAAGTTCTGGGATTTTTTTTGACAAATTTGTGGAGTTTTTTTTACAGCTATTCTGGGATTTTTTTTGACAAATTTGTGGGGTTTTTTACAGCTATTTTTTTTTTTACATTTGTAACTGCTCCTGGCAAATGAAAACAAAGAAACGCCTCTGCTGGAATGGAAGGACACTGATTTTGTGCAGACCTTCTGTGTGACCTTTGTCTGATCCAGCCATAATCGCGTTTTTCCTCAAAGTGTTTTTTAAGCCAACGTGCTGATATTAATTTTCTTTAGACAGACAAACCTTGTCACATGGCGACTGGTCAAACAGACGACTATTATTCTGTAACCGGACATGGCTATTGAAGTCATGATTGATCCTCCTACTGTACTCGCCTGTTGAACCGGTTAGTTACTCCAGGCAACTGCTGCTCAACAACAACAAAGACTCAAAGAAGCGGTGAAGCTCCGTCTTACTCGTAATGAAAACCGATGTCGTGGTTTCCAACCAGCACCACCAGCTCGGTGTCAGTGGAGTGTCGGAACATCCTGTGGAAGCGACGCACGTCGTCCTCCCAGTGCTGCACACAAACAAAACACACAGAGAACTGAGGCCCAGGAAATCAGTGAAATGAAACAACAAAAAAAAAGAGCTAATAATGACAGTGTTTTTATATGGGCTTTGGTGTAGAAGAGCAGCAGAAGTTTGGGTTTCTTTTCTTTTTCTGGTGTATTTTTCTAGTTGAAAATAATTGTGCAGCGATTTTCAGATCGCTGAGTTTGCAAATGGGCAAACTATTTTTGTTTTATGGATTGAACTGAAGGCGTGCTCGGTGAAGACTATATTTAAAAAACCAACACGTGCCCGTGTGTAGGAGAGAGTCCAGTGGGAGGCTGATGAGCCTCACTCTCAGCTTCTCCTGTGTGTGATGACGCTGCGTCTCATGACTCGGTTCTCCTCACCTGCAGGAGCCTCGGCCTCACACAGGAGACCCTTAATTACACCAGGAGCCGTGCTTTGTTTACACGGTCCTGTTCATTCTCAGGTGACCCAGTGAGTCGCTGCTGCTGATTTTAATTAGCACCGACATGACAATAGACACTCACTTGAACAATCAGCATGTTGTTGAAAGATGTTCTTCATGTTGTCAACACAGAGACTCTGGTTCGCTCCTGTTTTCTTCCTTCAACAGTGTGAAGGTTTGATACTTTATGGTTTGAGATTCATGGGGAAAAAAACTGGAATTCCATGTTGGAATTATCCTCATCAAGGTGTGACAGGGACTCTGTAATATCGCATGGATCAGTGGTGTTTGATCGAGTTATTATTTTGGAGAACTTTCAGATGATTTCCAGTTTATTTCAACTGAATTGTTATTCTGAACATTTCTGGTTTGGATTTTGGCCAGTTGTGACTGTTGTCAACAGCAGGTCACTGGTGGTCTCTACTCCTTCAGGACATGTGCAGAATAAACCAAATTATTTTGGACAGACGGTGTCTCACTGTGGGACTAGAGAAACAACAAAACGACGTATTATCCTGTCCAGTAAATTCACCCTTTTAATTGAGTGTTGGGTCACAACCAAACAATAGGTGGATTAGTGAAACAAATACTGGACAAATTCACACATAAAGGAAACCAGAGTCTGTCTGGACATTTGAGATGTTTCTCTGGACAAGTAGACAAGTCTACGAACTAGAAACGAGAGGAATTTGAAATGAAGGAGAAGAGGACAGAAACGAGGAAACTGTGGATGATTTGTTGTTTTTTATTATTTTAAGTCTACGAGAGCGAAGCTTGAACTCTAAACAAAGCTGAGCTGCATTTCCTTTGTCTGAAATACTGAAGTGATGGATGCAGAGATGCAGGACTGAGAGGCTGCAGCTGCTCCTGTTCTTTGTTATTGTTGTGATTGTTGGTGTTTTGCAGCCTCTCAGGCCTGTTTGGTATGATGATGATGATGGTGATGATAATAATGATGAAGAGGAGGAGAGCACTGGCTTTTCCTCCTGCATATGAATCGTCGTTAGAAACACAGGGTCTGTTTACCTTTTGTGAGCTCCACTTGCCTTCGTCGAAAATGTCCCCGAGAATGAAGACAATGTGGGGCCTGAGGAGCCACAGCGCGGTCTGGAAGGCTCGCTCCATCTGCCATTCCCTGCGCGTTTGGACACAGAGCTCAGCGTCACTTCAAGTCTCTTTCTGTGTGTTTGCTTGTCCACCAGTGATGGTAGGATGATGGATGGATGAATGAAGATGCCAGCCCCACAAAACAAACCCTTTACCTCCTCAGTTTGTCGAACCAGTGTCCTCCTACTGCTCCCAGGAGGTGCGTATCCGACAGCACCATGGCTCGCACCTCCTCCGAGCCCTCTACGGCGCGGACGTTGCCGATCTTCGGCCAGGCGCACTTGAGAATGGTCGGGAAGTAGATGAGATACTCGCAGAAGAAGAAGACGCCGCCGACCGCGACGATCAGCACCACGGCCACCAGCCATGTGGCACTGAGTCTCAGCATTTCTGGGTTATTCTGCGGCGGAGATGCCCTGGAGTGGCGCACTGGTGCCGATGGAGCGGTCCGTGAGGCATCTTCCAAACCTCCTCCACACCAGGACCAGGACCAGGACCAGGACCTGGACCGAGATCAGGTCTCCGGCCGTGAGATGCTCATGGTACGTGCGCTGAGAGGATAAAAAAGCCGAGCTCCGCAGTCCAGAGGATCTGTGATGGATTTGATGAAGAAATAAATCAAAATAAAAGTTTAACAAAAACCTTTGTCTGTGGATAAATAAAGGGAGAGAAAAAGAGAGAGAGACTGAACTGAGTCGACAGCAGCAGCAGCAGCAGCAGCAGCGACGACAACAAACCTGCCGCTGTTTTGGAATAAAAGCATCTCTCGACTCTTAATAGTTAAGTTAGAAATGACACTTTCGTTTTTGAATTTCAAAATAAAACGTAGGGTTTACTATACTTGAAATTAAAAAAAATCAGGACAAGGATAATCGTGTAGTTTATTTCAGAGTTAACCTTATGGAATTAATACGATTATTTACAAAGACGACAGATATTAAGTAAAAAAATAAAATGCATATAAAAGAAATATAAATGTTAAGCTATATTAAAGATATTCCTAATTTCCTTCAAGCTACCTTAATGTATTTTTTGTAGTTTCTTAATTAAATTGATCGGAAATTGACAAATATGTTTTTTCGATTTATATGTAAATAAAATAATAATTTTAAAAAGCTAAGCGAATAATTTAATTAATTAATTACATTATTAAAAATATTTTTTAAATAATTTAATTAAAAAATTAAAAAAAAGTTAAATTATGAAAAATGTGTGTGATTTTTAACCCACCAATTATTTACATCCTGGTTTCATTTCGGTGTTTTTGGTCATTTTTAAAGTGAAATAATACTAGTTCCGGTTTTGTTTTTGGCTCACACCGGTAAACTTGATTTCGTCTGTCATTATTCAGGTTATGGAAATATAGAGGTAAGAGTTCGAGATGAAGTCTATTGTTGAACAGTACGTCAGAAATATGTCCACACTAACAGTGAAAGAAAAAAAGCCATCTCGCTGGTTCAGCTGCAGAAAAACCAGAAAACTAAGCAGTCAGGTTTCACAGTGGAGACACAGTGATGGTGATGATGATAACTGATTACAGATCAGCCAATCGACCTGCTCAACCTGTTGGTTTGGAACTGAACAACGGCTTTGTTTCATAAAAGGAGAACATTTTTTTAAAAGTCTTTTGTTTTTGGCCTGAGCAGAATGACAGACTGTGATTTTCTAATTCTGGCAGAATGAGGAAGCCAAAAACAAAAACAAACAAAAAAAACAACAGTAACAAAACCCCAGCAGCAGTAGCACAGAGGGGAAGTGACACGTGATCAATGAGCCCTGTGTCAGAATGTAATGTCAATACATTCGAGTCACGCAGTCCTGCATGGAATTCTGCAAAACATTTCAGCTCGTTGAATGGTGTTTTGTTCACGCTAAGCGAGGAATCAGTGTGTGTCTTTGGTTGGCTTTACGGACACTGACTAAAAACAGAGGAATGTCGGCAATAATACCCCGAGAATTAGACTATAAATCGTTAAAAGTTAGAAAAATAGCTGCTAGATTTATGAAGGGCTCTGTTTGGCAAAGAAATAACAAGGTTCATACACATATAATTATATATGTAAATGTGTCTCTTTCATTTAATATTTTTTAACTCTACTAGCATACAATTATACTTTTATTAAAACTATACATTGTATTTACTATTTAAAAAAAAAACAACTTCTGGCCATTTTCAGTTTGACTTTGTATTTTTATTCCTGTGTCTTTCTACATTTCATAGCCTTTTGTCAACTCTGCATAAAGCAGATTATTTTTGTCATTAACAAGTGAAGGCGGCTCATTTACAAGTCGTTAAGACTTACATTTTGAGGAGCAGGGAAGAAAGAAAAAAAAAGGCGTTCCTGCTCATGCAGAGAAAATCCATTTACTGTCGTGTGATCCACAGTCATGCGCCCTCCTCAGATTCTGACTCGTATTTGAAGCTTGTTATTAAATTATGGTCTTGTTGTGGGATTTGGTTAAAAAAATGTGTGGTTCTTTCTGCTCAGTCGGCGCAAAATTACTTTTTAGCCGCAGGAGAAATGAAACATTTCCCATCGTAAAAACAGAACCTTTATTTTATTTTAAAATTTTCAACCATTAACAAATCTCCAAGCAGACATCTGAATTAACCATCAACAAAGTCTGTGCTTTTCTTCAGTCGTCTACGTCACCATGGGGTCTCCGTATGCACAGTTCTTCTCCACGCCCAGATTGAACCAGTTCCCTTTCCCTCCTTTATAAGCACTGGTGACAATTCTGGCCCAGCCTCGTTCTCCCTGGGAACACAAACACATCATTGACTTCACCGTGGGGTAACACAGACTTAAAGAACACTCCCCCGTCCTCCCCTCCTCTATGGCATCATCCATTCCGTTGACAGTTGTATAACTAGAATTCAGACACAGCTGCGCTGTCAGGGTGTGGTGTAGAAGGACAAAAAAACAAACCCAAAACTCTCCCCAGGAGTTCCTGACGATCCAGTACTCAGTTTGGTCCTCGCTCAGACCCCAGCCGGCCACAGACACGATGTGGTTCGGTAAAGACAGAGGGTGAAACTCGGAGAAAATCCCTCCAGGATAGTTTTCCAGACCTTCAGTAGCCATTAGTGCACAGCTAAAAAGATTAAAATAAAAAAAGACAAAAAGGAGGATTTGTTCTGGAACCTTCTGTACTAACATGGCAAACAGATGTTTTCAATTATCCTCTCTGTGAACTTCACTGCATGTCACGGGTGATTCTGCTCCAGGATTGGCTGTGAAAACAGACACTTGATAAACATTTAATCTAAAGAATTTATTCTATACCTTATGGCAGAATCAACATTTAATTTTTATTATTTAAAATTTAAAACCAATGAGACTCAGACCAGCAAGCTGGTTGAACAAAAAGGTTGTTTTTTTTCATCCTCTAAGTCGTTCATCCTCATCATCATCTTTCTGTCAAATTACTGCCTTCAGTGTCTCCACTATCATCCCGTCTTCACCCTGCCTCCCCTTTTCTTATCATCTGTTCACTGTCCAAACTCTATTTAAGGTATTTAAGATCATCCACCTTTACTACGTCAACTGTAAAACATCATAGTCCACAGAGCCTGACGTCTGATCTCATAAAACTTATCTTTTCCTTCCACTTTAGGTCTGATCTGTAAAAATTATAATCCAGAGTCAACTACCTGATGGGCCCATTTTTGTAGATCTCTGCTTTCATCTCATCTCTTCCAGAAACGTACCCGTAGTCGGCCACTTTCCACACGGTGTAGTTCTTGACCACAGAGCAAGATTTAAAGAAGGTGCAGGTGCCACACTGGTTGAAGAGCTCACACTCTGTCACCAGTCAAAACAACAACAAGAAAACCTAGTAAGTTTTTAGGTCAAAGATGTCGATCCTGTCATTGACTCATTATGTGTGTGGATTCAGTTTGTCCTGCAAAGATGTAAAATGTTTTATCTCTGATTCCACAGGAAACTGATCGGTGAATTTGTTCATCAATTTAACCAAACCAGTAGAACCCAAGGATATAAATCACAACTGTCAGTTTGTCATGTGGTCTCAAAACAAATACTAACATAATGCAACACATTGTCATTTCAGTACTAAACCTCTACATCAGTGGTGTCCTAGGACTTTGTCAGGACCCGAGGATAAAATGGTAAACTATTTAAACGCTCTTTTTTACACCAGCGCCCATTGAAGTACCGGGAACTTTTTATCATCATTGACATGTAGAAACAATTCCTGTGCGTACTTTGATTTTTGGCTTGATAGTTGTTGCAGGTCTCATCGGGGATGCCGCTCTTGTGGGCGTAGGCGTACACCCCCACGTGATCTCCTCCATAACAAGATCCCGCCCTCCCACAGTCAATCACGTTCTGGACCGACAGGTAGGCAGACGGCCACGCCCCTCCACGTTTGATGTTGATACGGTCTTGGACAAATACAAGAGAAACATTTAAGAAAAAAACAAACAACTCTTGCTCTGTATGCTCTTTACACTGCAGTAACCCATGTTATTAATACTGAATATTGAGTATTTCCACGTATTATAGTTGTTCTGTGCCAAAACTTTATCCTTTCCCTTCCATCCCTGCCTCTCTTTGTTGTCATGGTTACCAGCCAAAGCGCTGGTGGCTCCCATGGCCCAGCAGGAACCACAGTACTGTGGGATGTGTTGGTTCCTTGTGACGCTCACATAATTCTTCCCCTGGACGTTCCTCCAGTCCCACGACGGAGGAAGCACTGACGCATTCACATCCACGCGAGGCCAGGCCCACGGTCTGTAGTGATTTAAAATTTTAAATTACATTCTGCTTCACGACGCCAAGAAATAAAACATGAGTTCTGATGGCAGGGTGACTTTAGGGAGGGATTTGATTTAGACGGTTGTGTGGAACAAACATCACATTATTTGGTCAAGTACATAAGCATTTGGACTTTGAGCAGAGACTCACTGAGCCGCTGTTCAAACGCCATCCAGCTGGTCACATAACCATACGGCAAAGAAGAAAAATTATCCAAGAGAAGCTTAAAATAGTCTTAATCTAAAAATGACCAGGGTTGTATAGTGGGAGGACGTTCAGTGTCCTTCTCTGGTTTTGTCCAACAGTGCCCTAGATGAGGCCATAGGTTAACTGTAAAACGATAATTTAACCACATATGTAACTCTGGATTAGCTCCAGTGAGATCAACAAAATAATAAAAAAACATATCTTTTTATTTAAGTCTTTGCGTTTTGTTGATAAGCTGTAGTGCCCCTAGAGGCGATGAGAATAAAGTTGATAGGTCTTTCAGATTTGTAGTTGAACTGCCCCACAGATGACTGAGGTCTCAGTCCAAAACATCCGAGTCTTTTGTGGCGTTTTATTTGATAGACTGTAGAGACGGATTTGATTTATTTTCACATGATATAATTGATAATACATTGTGATGTAGTAGCTAACTTTAAAACCGCTTTGACAACTATCGGCTGGCTTAATAATAATCAACGACTGCTGTTGTGATGTGTGCAGTGATACAATTGATTATGTACAACAACAATTTCAAAAGGAAACGCAAATTATCTTAATAACTTACTTGACAGAATCTGGTATGTGGACGCTAAGTGGTTTGTAGCAAGGCTCTGATAAAAGCCCGGAGCAGCGAATTTGCATTAAAATGGACAAAATTGCGAAACAAACCGACAGAAACTCTACCGCGGAAGGCACCATGTTGGCTCTTCTCCCTCCTGTCTCCGAACCTCTAGTCTGAATCGTCAGTATGGGGCGGGGCCTCGCTGGATGCTGTGTGCGCCGCGGCCACGGCGCCCTCTTGTGACGACAGCCATAATTACACAATTCCATTTCCTATGAAAATGTTTGATTTAAAATTGAAAGAAAATACGACAATTCAAAGTGTCACTTTATTTTACAACTGCAGGACATCAGCCTAAGAGAGGCCTTAATACTAATACTTTAGTCCTTATTAGAGAATAAGTGTAACATGTTCTTTAAATAAACAATAACTCCACAGATGGCTATCACAGTAAACTGCACATTCTCCCTTTGGTTCAAGTCAACAGATCATATCAACTGTCAGGATCAGGACAAAACACGAATCAGTTCTTCCTCATTGACCCCTACTCCCTGTGTGGGACTGTCACAGGGGGGCACGAGACCCAGTCCCAACTCTGCCAGTTCCTCACAGCTCATGTCAGTCGTCACTGTGATCTTAGTCTCCAGGCGGTTACAAAGAGTCCTGTATGAGGGCAGTGGATACCCCAGCTCCCTGAGGTACTCATAGCCTTTGGTACCAACTGCGCAGCGGATCTTGCGGGCTTTCAGGATGGTCTCAGGTGACCAGACAGCCCGGCGAGAACGCTTGGTGAGAGACAAGGCGCGGATCTGGTCCTCGTACAAAAAGCTCTGTAGGCCCTTCTCGATTCTGTTGAGACGATAAAGACGTTTCTTCATCTTCTCTGCCTGGTAAAGACAATAATCAATGATTAACGATGAGACACAGAGGCAGCAGAACATGTTCAACACAGACAGAGAGACTGGTGGCCGTTCTACCTCTTTCTGCACCCTTGCTGTGTGTTGCATTTCCTGCTCCAGCAGTTTCTTGAGGAAATGACACTGAGTACAAGGCTGCTGGTCCTCTCCTGTCTTCTCAGCATCATCTCCTACCATCCCAGGCAGTGGGTTGCGTCTGGCATAGCCATGGTCCCCAAAATTCTGCTCCTTCTCTGTGAGAGACACGAAACATTTTTAAAAAGATTTTAAATACATTTTAAACAAGAAATGTTTGGTTGAGGAAGAACTGATGAAAAGTATTTTGGTTTTGTTCAATTACCTGTATCATTTTTCAGGTTGTGCGAGATGAAGGGTATGGATACTACTGGGTAAGGAGGATCCCCAAAACTGAAAAGAGTCGGGATGGCATTGGGCTTCAACTTCTTCCCCCCGGCTGGAGACCTGGCTATCTCTTCAAACTGACTCTGCTCAAAATGATCCTTGGAGGCAAAACATTTGGTTTGAAAATCACATTAATACAATACATACAATTAAGTTTTTACAAATGAGTTTGTATTACATACCAATATTTTCACAACTTAATGACATTAATTTCGTTTTTGTTTTTTGTTTATGGCCAAAACTTACCACAGGGATTAATGTATAATTATTGCACATTACACATCCCTGATCTAGATGGGAATTTACCTGACAGAGTCTGGAGTGAGGAGTTGGCTCAAAGTCCCGACGACAGTTCACCACCCACTTCTTTTTACGGACAGGGTCTTTGGGAAACCTGAAGAGTTGCTTCCCTATACTGGTTGAATTGGAGCAGTTTGGAGCAGAGCAACCGCCCATTGCAACAACTAGCAGTAATAGCAAAGCTTAAATAATATAACAGGCTTGAGAATAAACTTGGCTGCAAGTGATGCTCAGCTGGGGATTGCAATCATCACTTAGTGAGCAAATCGCACGGTGTAAAGACGAGAAAATACACATTTACGATACAATTACACTCACAGAAACCCTAAAATGCGTATGCAACTACAACATGCTGTTACATAAGAATGAAACGAAACAGAAAAGCCGTGATAAAATGTTTCTTAGTTTGTTTGAGCCAAAATGGCGCACAGCTCTTCGACGACTGGATGTAGTGACGCATTGTTTATGCGCTATCCATTGTATTCGCCAGTTTCTAAATATTTTATCTATAGGCAAAAATAAAAAAAAACAAATCATTCATACAAAGAATAAAACAATTTATTAAATAATACTGTGCTCTATTTTAATAAGATTGTTATTTTCTACAATAGACGTCATTAAATGTGTCATATACACTCAGGCAACTTAAAAGCTACTACGACCGGTTTTTCCAAGGACCCCAAGAAGCATGTCGGACTGTTTACGAATGAACCACTGAATGTTGTTTGACAACATGATTTGATATTAGTATATAAGAAATGTTATGGTTATTACACCGCAACGAAGAGTAAATTACAGACGCGCGGCTTAAGAGGGGAATTGACAGTTGTATATTTTAAGTAAGTGGGCTGTGTTTGCTAATACAGTGGTTAGCATTGGTAGCCGCGAAAAGTCAAATATGGCAGCTTCATTGGTTGTGCCAGTCGTTGATGTTCACAATGATAATTTCAAAGAACTTTGGCCTGCGATGGTTGTGGCCATTAAAACGTCATCGTTCATAGCGTTAGACACGGTGAGTTCATATTTAATTCGTTGTGATAATCTTTGGTAATACTGACAACCAGAGACGCTAATAATTAACTATTTACCTCTCGGTTGTATCTAGGAACTGAGTGGCCTCGGGAACAGAAAAGCATTGCTGGCTGAGTGAGTATAAATATTAGAGATGTACTTTTATATTTATATAACCCAGCACGTTTTGCTTATTCTTATTACAGAGTTCTGAATTTCCTGAAAATATTGGTGTATTGTTTCAGATCAGTGGAAGACAGATACAAAGCCATTTGTCATGCAGCACGCTCTCGCTCCATCCTCTCCCTGGGCATCGCCTGCTACAAGAAGCAAGACCTCAAGGTACATTGTGAAGTCTGCATTCTTTTTCTTAGAGAAAATGTGTTGTCTATTATCATGTCCGCTGTCAGTCTGTTCTTGTATTTCCACCTGTTTTTGCATCTTAATTCCGCAGGCTGCAGACACGTACCTGGTCCAGGTGTACAACCTTACCCTGCTGTGTTCAGAGGAGTACATCATCGAGCCCCAGTCAGTCCAGTTCTTGGTGCAGCATGGATTTGACTTTAACAAACAGTATGCTCATGGAATATCCTACTTAAAAGGCAACAATAAGGTACTCATGCTATACCTCTGTGTACCAGTGTAGTACAAAGTCACTATGACATGTAATGAATGTTAGAATAGACATATTAAACTTCTGTTGTTGTCAGGGAGGGTTGGACTATCACGGTGTCCACATCAGAGCCTTATTCACTGAACTGCTGCGGTCCAGGAAACCCCTGGTTTTCCACAATGGCCTCATCGACATGGTCTTCCTTTACCAGGTGAGGACTTCAGTGTGATTACTGTGCCCCAGAAATCTTCTCTGGGTAGATTTAATGTACAAATGTATTTTTAATATGTGATGTAAACCCACTGTGTTTACACTGCCCTCTTTCCTTCACTGTGTTCTAGTGTTTTTATGCTCATCTGCCTGATCGTCTGGCTACGTTCACAGCCGACCTGTCTGAGATGTTTCCTGCTGGAATCTACGATACCAAATACGTCACTGAATTTGAGCTGCGGTTCACTGCCTCTTATCTGGAGTACGCTTATAAGAAATGGTCAGTTATGATACTGCACACACAATTATTTAACAAAGAGAAACATACGAGAATAGAATAGAAAATTGAACGATTCCACTGAGGATCATGTTTCTCTGTCTTCTAGTAAGCTGGACAATAGTCGAAGTGTAACTTCTGGAGGAGCTGGACGTCATGTCCACGTGGACTTTTGTCAGTACGCTGGTCTGATGTCCAGCTATATTGACTACAGAGAGTGTCCAGTTGCATCTCCTCAAGGACAGCTTGAAGTTTGTCAGCGCTTCTCTGTGAGTGTCAACTCTGTTGTTTTATTTTTTAAATTGTCTCCAGCAAAGTTTAGTTGTAGACTTGTTTTTAAATGGTTTTTTTTTGCCTCTTCTTCCAGGCTTTTGGTTATTGTCCCAATGGTAACCAATGTCCTCTGTCTCATGACACTGACCTGATCATCCTACAGGATGAACAGGGCAAGAACGAGAAGAGAAAGAAAAGGAAGAGACAAAGAGAGAAGAAAAGAGGAGGAGGAGATGGGGGGGTGGCAGAGGGCTCCTCTGTGTTTGATGGTGCTCCTGAGAACAAAGTACCACACATGGAGGTGGAGGGCGAAGAGGAAAAGGCCAATGAAAATCAACAAGCCGAGGTTGATCTCTGTGCAGAAACTGAGACCGAAAGAGACGGTAAAGGGAATGGTGTTGAAGACATGAAAACAGAGAGTGAGGAGAATGTGGCAGGCGGGGGTCACACCAACTCAACAAACTCTACAATCACTGCCACAAGGGGTGGCGAGATACACTCAAAGGTCAACACAGAGGACGGCGAAGACAGTGGAGAAAGTAGGAAGTGTAGTGAACTGCTGACCAAGTCTGAGGAGCAGAAAAAGGCAGAGGCAGGAACCCACCGAGCGGGATTCGACGCCTTTATGACCGGATACATCTTTGCTTACTCCTGTACACTGGTGAAACAGGGAGGAGAGAAAGAGGAGGAGAAGGAGCAGGATGAGTCGTGGCATCCTGCTTGTCTGAATAAGGTTTACCTAAGCGGAAAGGCTGTTCCTCTCAACGTGATGAAAAGCACTTTCTCCAAGTCATCCAAGGCCCATGGGCAGAAAATAGAAATGTTGTGGGGAAAGAAAATGTAGTGTCCCATAGTTTTAGCTAAAATAATCTTTTATTTGTAACTTTGTGAGCTGTGAGATTATAGAAATGACATTGCCACATTACTGTTCTTATTTTTCTATGAATTAAAAAAATGTATTGCTTTTTGTCATGGAATTAGATGGTTACAATTCTAATTGATATTGTCCTAACGTACACAAAATTTCACATATTTCACATGGTGATGTTTACCAGATGTAACCTGGTAGATACCATATAATCTGACTGGAATTCTGACTACAATTTGTTTTTTTACTCTTTTTGAAATGATCTATTATCATTATTCCACGGTAGAAGTTCTACCTGACAACTTCATATACAAATTAGTGATCCAAAATGGTGCCCACAGTGAACAGAAGCCAAAACAAGCAAATAAAAATGACTTATATTTTATACAAAGCGTACATTTAAAAACATAATATAGTATAGTCAAATTCACCCGCATAGAATATGTGAATAATAAGAAGGTTTTGATATTTAATGTATAACAGACAAGTCGGTAGTTAACGTTAATATATTCGTTGCACACTCCCGTCCACTGGTGTCAGTAGCGCACCTAAAATCTGTTGACAACCTGCAAATGAATCGACAAAGGAAGATGATAAAAAAGGAGGAGGGTCAAAAGGAAGAGGTTACACAAGTGTGCTAATTGTCGATATATTTACCCAGTCTAACAGTTTTACTGTCATCAGCGGAATACATGGTTATAATTTCTTCTACCGACACCCAGATGAGAGAAGCGGCGACGCCACAGAACGAGAAGAGCCGATAACGGGTCTCACGCTGAAATGGCTGACAATGAAATCGACTACAACATTGTGTTTCCGGATGCGGGGACATCAGGTGTGCAGCAATAACCAACGACGTGTCATTGTCACATCCTCTTCAGCGTCTTCGTAAACTCACATGAACACAATGTCTCCATTCGGCTTTGTTAGCCCGCGATGCTAATGTTCTTTGTCATCCTGTGGTTTCAGAGAGACACTGGAAGGGGACAAAGGAGCCGGTGGTGATACTTTTGGGCTGGGCAGGGTGCAAAGACAAGCATCTGTCCAAGTACAGCGCCATCTACAACGAGCAGGTTCATATTAATTACTCTAGTCCTTTTTTGTTAGATGGTTTTTATGACATGATAATACCTGACAGTGGCAATGTAGACAGGATGTAGGTTTGATTTATTGCAATTTAATAAAATGAATGGCGGTTAAAAATACTGGGAAGTTGTGGATTCATCATGTTAAATCGTGATTGTCTTCTGCCTCTTATTCCAGGGATGTGTCACCATCCGCTACACCGCCCCCATGAGGACACTCTTCATCTCTGAGTCGGTTGGCTACAAAGAGCTGAGCAACACAGCCCTGAAGCTCCTTGAGATCCTCTTTGACTATGAGGTGGAGAACAGTCCTGTTTTCTTTCACATATTCAGTAATGGTGGCTTCATGGTGTACCGCTACATGGTGGAGTTGTTGCACACTGACAAACAGTTTAGTTCCTTGTGTGTGGTCGGGGCTATAGTTGACAGCGCTCCAGGTAGCCGGGACATTAGAGGGGCTTTAAATGCACTGTCGGCCAACTTGGGGACGCACATAAGTATTTTTTTACGCTACATCATCCTGGCTGTTTTTGCAGTGTCTGTTTTCCTGCTGCGTGTCGTGCTCTACCCGCTGACCAAGTACATACACAAGAACCACTATGACGCCGTGGAGGACGAACCGCCCGCCTGGCCTCATTTCTTCCTCTACTCCAAAGCCGACCAAGTTGTCAGATACCGGGACGTCGAGCTCTTTGTGGAGTCCTTGAAGCGGAAGGATGTCCCCGTGGACAGTTTTGATTTTGTCTCCAGTTCACATGTAGCCCATTTTCGCATTTTTCCAGAACAGTATGTCAGCATGTGTCTGAAGTTCTTGGGTGCCTGCATGAAGGACTTGGGGGAAACCAAGGTGAGGAAGAGGCACCAGATTCAAGAGCAGTGACACTCAGGAGATTTTTGCTCACAGTATTTGTCCCAGCTGAATGTTAGTGTTCCAAACGTGGTCTGTGTAACGTGCTTGGTCTCTCTTTTCTTAACACTGTAACTGGTTAACACTTATGACACTGAGTCCTAATGAAGTCCACTTACCATTCACCACATATAAAAATGACCACTGTTAAAGACAGGCAATCGCATAGGATGATGAAGAGTTGTATTTATTATTGCTGAGAAATGTGTTGAATGGTAGACAAGTTGTCATGGTTTCAGGTTAATGGGACTAGTTTTTATTGAAAACATATCTGTAAATGGTAGTTAAAGATGTATGTTATTGGGTTAATCATTACTGATTATAACACGTGTGAGGATGACAATGTTGGAGGCAGATTTGAAACATTACCTTTATTCTGAAATGTTTGCAGTGATCTATGATTTAGAGTTTACTGATCTGAAGAAAAGATGTGATTTGACTCGGAATGTATGTGGTCAACACAAACTGTTCCTTTTTAACTGATGTGCCTTCAGTAAAGAGTGATCATTGAAATCATCAAATGGCTAAAATTGAGTTATGGTTCAGAGTTTTATAAGCAAGGTAACGTTTAGATCATTTAAACAAACTGTTTGGCAAATGGTTTCAAATAAAATTAGAGTTCCTGTTCTCGGGTATTTAAAAATATTCACAAATTACTCAAACCTCCCACGAAAATTTAAAACAATGCTATCTGATTGGATTTTTTTTTCAGTGTGGGATTAAATCAGTCAGTCCCACTACCGACAAATTATAGTCAAAGTTAATCGTTTTTTCTTTATTTCTTATCATCAAGCCCGCGAAACAACGGTCGTTTATTTATTTTTATTTTATTTATTAAATTTTTAAAATGGCGAAACCATTTCTCGGGGAATTATTTCTCCGTGAGCGTATTTCGGTTAAAGAATAGCCAGAACGATTACGCTGACTTAGCGAGGACCCCAATCAACGGACTAACCCAAAGTTGCCTGACTAAATTTTTAAATACTCAACCAAGAAATTAACACAATTATTACGCATTTTAATATTCCTAATGGGAATTTATGACAGTATTTTATTTAAATGTTTAATACACATTTGAATTAATTAAAAATAAAATATTTGAATTTTTAATTTGAGTCCGGATAACCTAGGTGGAAGCAACGTTTAAAACAACCGAATTATATGGAGCTAGAACAGTCTCAAAAAGAATAAATACACAAACAAGGATTCACAAATGTACTTTATAAATTCACAAATGCAAAGGTTGTCTGCTCTATGTGTAGTTGTATATTTGAGCCACTGGAGGGCTCATGACTATAATGCTATAATGTTGCGGGAAACCCCCAGGAACACTATATCAACCTGGCAGTCATTTTACTTCAAATCCCTTTTTAATAAATAGTAATAATTGTGCGTTAACATTCTATTGTCTGAAAAAAGTAAATAATACTTGGCAAAACCTGGTTTCATTTAAATCAAATATTCCCTTCCCTGCTCATTTTATGTACTCGCCCCCTGGGGACGAAAGATCAGAACGCACTTCGTTTAAACACTCGCTTTGTAGCCAAAAATAGTTTTCTAACAAAGTGACTAAAACGTTGATACATGTGAAAAAGTTGCATGAATTTATATCGTTATTTTATTTTCTTAAATTCGCTTTTCTTCTGTCGAAAGATATCTATTTTCTTCATGTTTCACAA